GCGAACGTGTCTTTCGATTTTTCCACTGCTGTGAAAATTACAAGAGTAGCGTCACTGCAACAGCTGTAACTTGCAAACTAACTATGAAAATGTCATGGAATTTTGACACCCACCGTTCGAAGATTTTTACTACCTAGACATTTCGACCATATGTCAGACATATATGCGTCAGACAGGCGTCTTGTTGGAGGAATGATGTTTAATGGTATAATAAATTGCATTTGCTGTATGGTTTAGTCCTACTGCTACTAGTACACAATTTTAAATTATATTTCAATTCTAAATAAGTCGATCCTGGCATGTTTACAAGTAAAGGTAACACAAGTTTAACAATTCAGTAAATGTTATTATAAGGGTTTATATAATTACTTCGTGAAATTTTTCGAAAAATTTTTAACATCGCACTAGTTGAGTGTGGAACTTACCAGATAGTGTTTTTACGCAAAAATTAAATTAGTTACCCAGAATATTAAATTTAAGGCAAACCAATTATTTTCTAAGAAATAAATCATAATAGCGGTATGTTATAAACGTTTTACTATAATTAAATAAAACAAATTTTTTTTGTTTAAATTCTTACTTAATAAGTTTAAGTTAAACATTGGTAACGAAACTTGCAAGACTCAGCCGAAAAATATTCTAAATCAATCGCAAACATACTGAACCTTAGTTATCACCAATCCATAATTCACCTTATAAGTCAACTGCAAGACCGGCGAATGAATTCCAAAAGCAAGGTGGATCGAAATTAATGCGAAAAATATTCCGCTGATATGAATCATTCTCAATATATAAAAAAAAGAAAATTTTCTTCTAAACTTTCAAACTATATATCACGAAAATATTACGTGGATTTGAACTCATATCTAGGCTGCTAGGCCGCTATTTAGTTAACAAGCCATTGGTAAACGACCAGCGATCTGATAAAACGGTCAACGGTTTGGCCAACCATCTGGCATCTAGGCGGTCATTTACCCAATTAGGCAACTTATGGACGGAATACACGGATAGGCCGCCACTCATGTATTCTAGGCAATCAGTTAAGACCTCATCGTTCCATTCAGAGGGTTAGCCAATAAAAATATAGTTTCACCGATGTAATATAGATCGTACCGTGCTCGTACCAAATGTGCAGTTTACTCACAGTGGAACATATAGACGACCCACAACTCAAGTAGATAACGAATTACTGCGCCCTGCTACCGCATTGTCCAGATCTAGGCCCAAAAACTTTAAAACTTATTGACTCTTGGATTTTCCGTTCTTAAATCTTATGTGAACTAATTGCAAATAAACTCCTATAAGATGTAACACAAAAGGGGAAGAAAAATAAGGATAAATAAAAAATACCGATAGAATAAAAATCATTTTTAGATTTGCTTTAGGAGTACTTTTCTGCCTCTGGAAAGGCGACTCATACTGAAAACGTAATGGTTCCGAATATTTTTACGACGAGTTCCCCCATCCAAAACCGTGTTTTAAAGAAGTCATTATAAGCAAAAAGTTGCAAATTTCCAAAGTTACTCTACAGAAATCATCGAATCGTGATCAGAAAAATTTCAACTTGGTTGCGTCAACTTTTTGCACCCTATTTCTTATCACGCTGGTCCTCTAATGCGCACTAATACGTACACGGGCTCACATGAAAAGTAAGTCTTCGTGTAGCACGAAATTTTAATTATTTCTATGAGTGAACGAGCTGATGGCATTGGCATAAGCGGCTGGGCTGGGCTGGGCAATATTTTTGCATAAAAAACAAAAAAAAAAAATATAGGTAAGTGAAAGCTTTTAATGATTCAAATCAATTCATTTCATATATATGTATAGATTGAATATGTATATATTGAATATTTTAAATGTTACAGTCAGATATATGAGAAAGGATAAGATGAGGCTTCGTACGTACATCATATGCAATGAATACATTTATAATAGTTCTGCTAAAAATAGTTCTCCTAAAAAAAAAAAAGTTCGTATCGCTAGCAGTCATGCGTTGCATCAGTTGCTATATATGCAACTCAAATCTTAAGTATAGCTAGTATTTATATACAACTATTTATTATTATTGTATGCGATTGCTATTCAGTGCAATCTGTGAGTAAATAAAAACAAACATTTTGTGCAAGTAAACAAGTTCTCAAACTGGATGCATAATGCAATGAATGAGTTAATGTAATAAGAATAACAGTATTTTGTATTTTTTTTAGTTAGGGTTTACTTTTTGCACTTTCTTAAAAGCAAGTTGTCGAAATGCATTCTTCCCTTTGGGTGGACAGCTGGAAAGCTGGAAAGCAATGGAGTGGAGAGGAGGGGAGGGGAGGGGAGGAGAGCAGACAGAAACAAAGAAGAAGGAAAATTTGTTGTTTTTTTTTTTTTTTTTTTTTTGCTTACTTTTATTCGTGTTTTTAATGTTTTCATTACCAAATCAAAACAACGTTTTTGTTTATCTTACTTTAGAGTTAGTATAATTGTTGTTGTTTCTGCTGTTTTGTTCTTTTTCAATCCTCTGCTCTATTGAACTAGTTTGTGTTTTCACTTCTCTCCTCTTTATTTGTTTACTAACGGTGTAATGTATTCAGTTGCGAGTTGTTGCCAAATATCTGTTTTCTCTTCTTCTGTCAGTTTTTCGTTCAAGTTCTTTTTCACTTACGTATGCATGCATGCAAGTAAGTCTCGATATGTATTTGCTTCTATGGCGAATATGTAGTTGAGTTTATTTCTTGAACTTTTTTGCTTTCTTGTTTACGATGCTATACGATAGTATAGGATTAGTTGTTGTAGTTTTCGTAAATGAAATATTGCCTTACTTCAGATTTACTATAGATACAAATAGATACGTATGCACATAAGTAGTTAATTCACCTTTGTAAACATTTGCAAAGTAAATTTAAATAAATTTCCATATAAAATTTAAATTCTTTATTTAAAATCATATTGCTTTAACTATTTACACATAAAATTTTAAAAAGTCTTAAGCCTTTAATAAAATTGAATTCCATATATACCCTCATGTCTAGAAATAAATCTTGTCAGTTGTAGATCCTCCTTCCCTCTCTCAATCTCTGTACAACTGATGTTGGTACGGTAATCGATCTATATCTAACACTATTGTAAAAATATTCGCCGAGATTCTTTTAGAAAATCGAAGACCGGCTAACTACTACTTGTGACGCTTCTTCGCTATCACGTTCTATCAAAATTGAGTTGTTATGTACGTAATGGTCAAAAGATCGAAATTAAGCATTGTGTGCATAGACCCTTCGCATTACTTTATCATTTTCATCAATAGAGTTATCGCAGATTAAAATGCATGCAAGCAACCATTATTGGGTCATATTGAAAAACCTCCGCGGTTTTTTTCTGTAGTCCGCCTTTCGTTTCGTAGCCCGTTCTTTTCAAATAATTCCAAGCTGTCATATGGTTGATGTCTAGCGCCTCCGTTATTTTCTGACAGCTTGTTTGCCGGTCTTGCTCTATTAGTTGCAATTTTTCCCCGACATTTTCAGTGACTGCGAAATTTCCGGAACTAAATCAAGCGAATCACTCCTGGCTTCTTCATTCACTTACAGCATCAAAAATTGTTTTCTTTTCTGCATCGTTTTTACTTTTTTTATAGTAAAAAAGCGTAACTTAGCGAATTTCGTCAGATATTTTTACTTATTCTCAAATCAATATAACTTTTTACACAAACGAGCAAAGAATTAGAAATCCGTCTCCACAAAAAATGCAACCTGTAGTGTCACCTCTCAAGCACACGTTCGTTTGAGACAATCAAATGTGCCTTGCCCGATATACAAGCATCAACACCACCCCGTGGAAAAAAAACCGCGGAGAATTTTCAATAAGACCCAGTACGTTAAGATCTGGATTGCATAGAATATTTTGAAAATATGAAAAAAAAAAAAAAAAAATGTTAACCTCCTCCGTCTCCCTCACTTTTACCACCTCTCTGCTGGTATATATTGACTCTAATCCGGTTCACCTCTTTCCGGGGTAAATGCTCCCCAACTACACATTAGCCCCACCGTCTTGTTCTTCCTTATCATGAATAAGTGATTGAATTGTTGTATGATGTAAGGTCCACAAAGTGGTTTTGAACCAATGTGTCACCTGACTTTCTTGTCTTTTAGCCACTTGTCACCTGGGTTCACAGTATATGTAAAAAGGAAGCACAATAATTTCAAGAAGAATGTCAAGATTAATATCTTGAAAGGAACTGGCAGCTGCACGTTTCGTTTAGCCGATTTATGGATACGGAGTTTACAGAACGTTTGTTTAAATTCCAATATTTTGAAGAATATCATATGGAGCGACAAACTCTCGTTTCTCCAATTCCGTGTTTATTCTGCTCACTAGGCGCTCATGATATCTGGCTGGGGAAATGCGAATCTGATAGGTAGTTATTGCAGCCGAACTATGGGTGGAACTCGGCACTTCCCATTCATAAATTTTGGAGACGCCATTAGCTGGATTTCTGTCGCAACAGTTCGTTCATTTCTTTATTCATGATCAATTTCAAGCTCCGATGAACTGTCCATATTATCAGGAAAAAAAGTGTTTTTGAATTGAAATATGCATTTTCCAGACCTCCTGCTAGAAGTTCAAATACATTTCAAGGGGAGTATCATAGTGCTCTTCTCCTCTTAACATTAGCCTTAGACACTCAAATTGAATTTAAAGGGCAGGAAGAGATAGGTTTCTAAGCAATTGTGCATTTAAGATATGTCTGTAGAAACCATTTATTAGCCATTGAAACGTAAAGTTATCGAAATTGAAATAAGGGAAAGTGAAAAATTCGCATTAAAAAAAGACGGATAAAATTATTCAAATTATCAAAATTTGCTATAATTTATTAAAAAAATAAGTTGAAGGAAAATAGAGTGAAGTGAAGTGAAAAGCGATTCTATATTCTATTGTAAAATTGTAAAAGTACGTTGTTTTTTAATCGCTTCAGCTTCCGGCTCATTTTTAATTTAAAGTACGTTTGCAGTTAAAAGCTGTTAAAAATCCGTTATATCCATGTAAGGGGAGAGATATTCTCCCGAATCAACACTTTGCTTGTCTTCGTCATTTATATTCGTATTAATTATTTGCAAGAGATCGTGTTTTGTTGAATTATTTCCCACAAGGAAGCCGTCAACGTCCGGCTGTAAAGCAAGGGCTTTGCAGTTGGTGCTAGTAACAGCGCCTCCGTACAATAACGGCACTGTCTCGGACATTTTCTTTGATACATAATTTTCTAGCCATTTCCTGATGAAGCCTAAAGCACTCTGAGCGTTATGAGGTCGAGCCGACTTCCCGCTGCCTAAGGCCCAAACCGGCTCGTAGACTAACATTACGTTCTGCCAATCTTTAATACGCTTATTCAATGAGGATAATTGATTGGCCAATGTGGAGTCTGTATTACCAGCAGAACGATCATCGTAACCCTCGCCAACGCACACGATAACACTCAGACCTTGATTTAAAGCGTAGGCTGCCTTCTCGGCTACCAATTCATCGCTTTCATTAAGTGCATTACGTCGATCCGAATGGCCGAGTAATACCCAACTAACACCGACATCTTTAAGCATAATGGGGGACACTTCGCCTGTAGTATACGCCCCCTTACACTCCTTATAACAATTGAGGGCAGCCAAATAAAAGCGTTCCGGCAACAGTTGTCGCACAAATTGTAAATATGGGAAAGGACAGCCGACAATTACATCGGTATTATCGTCGAGAACGTTGACAGAGAGCAATTTACACATTTCTTTGATATTCTCCTTGCCACTTATTGCTTTCCAATTTGCGACAACATAAAATTTTCTTTCATCCATTTCGTAAGAATTGCTAAAATCGCGTCTTAATATATTAATGCAAAAAAAAAAAAAAATTTAATCTCAAATTTTGTATTTTTTCGAATTTCAAAATTTTTCTAAAAAAAAAACTCAACGTTTCCTTTCATGTGTCAATTTATGTAAAAAAAAAAATAAATAAAAATTAAAAATAAAAATAAAAAGTAATTAGCGTCAGCTACACCTACGTTTGAAGAAATCAGCGATCAGTTCCAAAATTTATTTTCTCATCAACTCTTAATAATATTAAAAACTCCTTAAAGAAGAAGAACCATTTTGATATCACACTTAGAGTTTGGGGTAATACGACCTATTGAACTTTTGGACTTAAAAAAAAGGATAGTTTTAGCGCGTGTACACTTCCAACACTTTTTGGTGATTTTTAGGTATTTTTACCCCTAAACAGCCATAATCAGTTTTTCACTATGTGGTCTAGCTCACCCGATATCGACAATCTCCCACTCATTTCTATTTTGACCTATAACTTTTGTGCAATCGCTACAGTCACATTCACACACACACACACACAAAAATGAAGATACAAAGACGACTTTTGCCATAAATATTGGTTGATCGCTTCAAAATGTAAAGCTAAGAAATAGATGTGAAGTGGGTATGTTTGTACGATCGCAATATAAAAAAAATCCGAGTCATATGAACTTTTTTCGCATGATTATGTTTACATCTATACACAATATTGTGGCTTATTTTTTATTTTCATCTCGAACGCAATTTACCATCTGCTTCCATGCCATCAGTCTTTTATATAATCCAATGTAATGGCCACGGTAATTATGCAGCAAGCAGGCCCTTCTATATATATCAATGCCTAGAAGGAGAAGTAAACGAGTAACATCTCGTTCATACCTATTTGGAATCGATATACATTTTAAAGCGTGATAAAGTGCATTTAACGTGCTGAAGCAAATCTTTGCCTTACATATTCTTGAAAAGAAAAAGTTTCCTTGCTCCTAAATAGCTTAGCATATTATTTGCCTGTGTTCGCTTTTAAAAAGGCTTATAAAAAACATATGCTAAACATAGCACGCATCATTAACTTTAATCTCTTCACTAACTAACTATAAAAGAAAGATTATATCATCTTCCATTATTTTGAACTCTACAGTACACTCTATAATGCTTAGGTACTTTCGATTAGACTGAGTCGACGGTGAAAAAAGAGAAAAAACGCGCAAGAAAATTATATTCGGTTGTGAGTGAATCTTTTCTACCCATCACCGTTATCGCGAAAAAACGACAAACTAAGTAAAAGAACTAAATTTTCATGTTCTCTATAGCACGCAGTGAGCGAAGCTGATTTTTTCTATATTCAAAATTAAATTACTTGTCGCATAGGTGCGTAGGGGGTTGTAAACGTGTCCTTTTCTCGCTTTCAAATTCTTTTACAAACTTGCAGGCGATGTCTTCTTTTTCACATTAAAAAAATTAAACTTTGATGCACTATAATATCGGGTGGGCGTGGGAAATTTTTTCCATTTTTCTACAGGTACTATAGCATCGGCCACAGAAAATGCGTTAAAATTTTTGTATATTGATCTGCTAGAGTTAATGAATAATGGGCAGCACACTCGACCGATTTGGCGTATTTTGAATATCGAACAATAATACCGAATATTTGTGGGCCCTCAGTAGCCTTCTTCTCGACGTTGTAAACGTTTTGACAGAATGAATATACCCCTCATCCCTAGGCGATCCCTAGGTATAAAAAGAAAAAGCGTATAATTAATCTTTAAATTTTGATAAAAGCTTTCGTTGTCTGCTGACTAACACATTACACCTATGCTGTTGTCAGCAATGTTTAAGGAAAGCTTGAAAATAAAATACTTATAAGTTTCAAGTGTTTTTTAATATTTGTTGTCGTACTAGTGTCAAAAGGTTTTCTCTCAATTCTCCTCAAAGCATATTTGAATATTGAAAGCGTTTAACACAGCAACTCATAATATATCAAGCGATTTTAACGTGTTTCATGCAATATTTGATAGGACATATTTTATAACGAAAAACTACTTTTGTGTAATATGGCGGCATTTTATAGGTAATTATTTAATCTAATAATATACACATGTGCATACTTTTATTATCAGAATTGTGGATAAATCTTTGACCTAAATTAGGTACTTTTTTTGCTCGTCGTAAAGTTGATATTAAAGGCAGCTCTATACATGGCGCACTTTTAATGATCCGAAAAATTGAAAAGAAAACGATAACCCGTTTTCCATCAGCCTGCATGAATTTATTTTCGAACCGAATGCCTCGTATAACACATTTCAATACCGATTTATTTGTGAACAATAGAATAGGTATAGATTATATTGGAATATCGATTGAAACGTCCCCCAAAACATTCACTTCCAGCTTTAAAGTGAAGTCTGTAATATGCTCTTCTTAAGGCCGGCCGCGAAACTTCAGCTAAGCGACTCAGATTATGTTGGGCTGCAAGCGTGTCCTTTGATCGATTGGCCCCTTTTCAATATCAATCTGCCGGCGAGAATTCGCAACCTTCGATAACGATTCTTACAAATTTATGACCGGGCGCGACTACACTAAAATAAAATAGATTTCATATATTACAAGAGGGTTGCGCAACTTTCTTACGAGTCTGAAAAACATGCGGTTGCAAGTGTCGAAAATTAATCATATTTCACTTTTATCTCATCCTAATGCCGGTCAACGCTTACTTTCACATAAAGAAAGTCGGTTATAGTCTCAGTATTGATTAAACGGCACTGTGGAGACATTTATGTAAGTCGGCATATAAATTCATTTCAGTGTTTACATGCCGCCTGAAATAAAAGAAAGATGATCCTTGATACCAAGTGAAACTGCTCCTAATAAATGAAACGGCCGATCTGGAGAATGCTGCTCACAACTTCTCGAGCAATTGATGACTCGAAAAAGAAGAGATGAAAGACAAAGTTGGGTCACCGTTACATATAGCACATCCAATACATATGTAGGATGCATCCTATGCAGAGCGTGATATGCTTTCCCATTGCAAGGGAGAGACGAAATAATCGTAAAAGAAATGTATTTCAATTAAAAACCAAAAAATATAATTTTGTTTAACTGAGCAAAGCTCATTTAATACTTTAATCTTTTATCTTAAGCGCATGAAAAGCGTTGAACGTTTAGTCGAAGGCTTAAAAAAAAAAAAAAAAAAAAAAAAAAAAAACACATTTTCTTATTTTATACGTGTATGTCGTAGATGTACAGTGTCGTAAATCTGATAATCCCGACGACACATTCATGTAAATACATAAGTGGTTAGTTTTGAATTATGTTAAATAAACACACATCCAGACAACTTGCTCTCTCTCTCCCTCTCTCTTCCTCTCTCTCTTTATCAGAAACTTTATAAAACGAAAACTCATATATGCACTGCACAGAGGCACTTGAAGAGAAATAAAATTCGATGAAATTGCAATTAAAAAAAACGAAAGGGAATAAATTATAGTGAAAGTGGTCATTGAATACTCTGCAGTACAGTTCTTTTTCATGCATTTTAACGAAGTTGCGATAAAAGTAATCAAAACAAGGTAAATTATTTGTTGTTGTTTTTTTTTTTTTGAGGAAATCAGAACTCCCTCTTCAAGCCAAGGATATTTGACTAACTTTTTTTATTTGTTCGTTTAGTTTTGTTTTGTTAAAACGGTTCTTTCTTCTTGCTTATCTGACTAGTAGCGTTCGATTTTGTTTAATTCTCTTAAGGAATGTCTTAACGGGAGATCGTATCTTTCAATCACAAAAAATGCTTTTTTGCGAACTTTAATTCCCACATTCCACTTTATCACCACACATTCACTTGATGATGTCCTGCAATTTACAAGAAACGTTGGAAATTTTCAAGTAGACATGAGGAAAAACACTACAGTAGGACACGGTCCACCATCAAACAGCCTGCACAACTGCGCTTAATACAATTAAGTCATGTCAAGGTAGGAAATGATTGGAAAAGTCATCCAATCCGAACCGTTTTCAATAGCGTTCGCCTTTGGGTCGAAACGCATCGTTGTATCGCGTTTTATCAAAGCATCTCAAAAGATGTGCCTTTTAGATTGACAGATGGACAGGCAAGCCTAGGTGACTTCACATCAACATATTATATACATCCACACTAACTTAATATATCCTTTATCTTAGGTAGTGTAGGATATAATTATTCTCACTGGGCAAACAAGGATGACTTTTTTAATTGATGTCATTTACGTAAGCGTTAGACTAACGTTACACTAGAAATCACTAACCGCATTAAATTATAACTGTATTATGGCGCTGTGACCTGTGTCGCTAATCTTAAGGGAGAATAACAGCCCTTCCCCAAATCGAATAATGCCAATAAAATTATCCAATATCAAATTTATTATAAGGCAAACAAGATTGCTTGCCTTCTGACTTACGGCGGCTTTATGTGTGTTGTTCCGAATCCGGCTGTTAATCTAAAATTATGATCTATATTATTAACCGACGTTCGTTCATCAAAAAGAATAAGTAAAATATCGTTCGCTGTATTTCAATTCAATTCTTTTTAAATTTGCATTTTTAAATAAGTACTTGTAGGGCAACTAACAGCACAAACATACTTTAACATAAACTAAAAATAATTGATTGAAAAATACAGAGTTTTTTTTCCCAAGCACGCTAAAATGACTGCTCTTGAAGGCAGGCGAATATTGATTGAAATTGTGGCAAATTGCCAGAAAGAAGTTCCAGGTCAAAGTAAATACCATTTGTTGTCTGCCTAATGATAAGGAGGTCCATATAAATAAACAAACAAACTTTTTTTTTTTTTTTTTCTTTTTTGAAAAGACTTACGAAGCGGCGGATGAGGCATTTCCCGCAGTATCTATGGAGAGTTTAGCAATTCCTAGTCAATATGAAATAATTGTATTGCTCTTAGCTTTAAATATATTTAAGAATTGTTTAGCAGGAGAACACTATAATAGCTTTAAAAAAAAAAACGA